TTTGTTTTATAAATTTGGAAACCTTATATAAGTTTGGAGATGTAAAATTTGTTTTATAAATTTGGAGACCTTACTTATCAATCTATCTTTTTTAATTTTGAAGAGAAATGAATTTAATTTTGATACCAATTTTACACAGCTCACAAAAATGATATAAGCAGGTTTAATTTATTATTAATTGGATGTTATAACCAGATGATCATCTGCTATGTTTTTACAGTTGTTACACTTTAGATTTTACAAGTTACTTACTTATAGCAAAATAAAGTGTCATAGGTTTGTACTAATACTTGTTTATGGTGTAGTAAATTGTTGCATTTTTGTCACTCACTTTTGATATATATTCACAATGTTATGGCCATCTCTGACTAATTTGAAAATGTAGCAGATGATTTTTTACTATCCTGTATTCCACCAAATACAGAAGACATGATGTCACTTCAGTTACAATAATTTAATTTTTTTTTGTCTATGTTAGACAAAAGTTAAAACTGAATGAGTAGGGAAAATGCTAGAAGAGATCTATCATATTAAAAACTTTAAATGCCATTAGAAGACAAATAACATTCTAGTATTTTGTAAAGATCACATAATAAGAATATGGAAATACCTGAATGTTGTTGGGGCTACAATTTTTGAACCTTCCACATTTAAGACAACATTTGTCAGATTCAAATACAATGGGTTTGTAAAGGAGATTATCATTTTAGCTTCATCGTATTTCATCATTTCTTCAGGACACTGAAATAAAGCAAAAATGATGTCATAAAATTAATAAAAGTATTTATTTTATTTGAAGTTAGTCATACATAGTAAAGGATATTACCTGAGATTTCTTTGAATAAGAAAAGACAAATGAGTTCAAATTATCACCAAGTCTGTCTCTTTCATTCCCAGCTATAAGTTAATGATGTAATGGAATAACCTGTCACCCCTATGAGTGATTACACTGTAGGTAGTAACTTCCTATAAGTACCTGTATGTCAACAGACTACAGAGTCTACCTGCAACCTGTTCCAGCTAGACGGTCAAACTCTCTGTTTTGGGGCAGAGAGGAACCCGGACGAGGCTCCGCCAAAGGGCAGATTCTCGTTCGGGGAGGTAGACTGCACCTGAACCCATTTATGCAGGTTCAGAAAGGGAATATTTTTGGCCGAGCCTGTAGGCTCAGAGAACCCACGTTAAACTGGCCTTGTGCCACATACAACCCTCGTGGGGGAGTAGCTAAATATGATAGCTGTGACCTGTTCCAGCTAAACAGTCGAACTCTCTGCCTTTGGGCAGAGTGGAACTCGGACAAGGCTCTGCCAAAGGATAGAGTCTCATTTGAGGAGGTAGACTGCCCCTAAACCCATTTATATGGCTTCAAAAGGGAATATTTTTGGCTGAGCCTACGGGCTAGAAGAACCCACGTTAAACCAGCCTTGTGCCACATGCAACCCTCGTGGGGGGGTAGCTAAATATAGTAGCTGGGATCTGTTGAGTACGACTCAGACATGTGAGAACTACTGACCTTTCAATAGTAGCACTCATTACTGGATTGACTTGTGACGACCTTGTGCATAACTGTTACCTTTATTCTTATTGTACTGGTTTTTTACAATAAACCTTTACTTATTCTATCCACTATGTTTGTCAAGTTTATATTCCTATTAGCATGGAATATAACAGTTAAGTAGTAAGGCATACAGAAATTACTATATAACACATTTTAAGCTTTGTTTGGGTCAAACTAAATTCATTATACTATAAAAAAAATGAGACTAATGCATCTTCTTTCTCAGTGGTTTTCTATTTTTCTAAATAGTGTCATCTGACACATTTGTGTGTCATAGTCATTTTTTACTAAAAACTGCAATAATAATCTGTTGCAATTCTACTAATTATTCAAATAAAAAAATCAGGCATAAAAAACACATGCCTTCATCTCAGCTTCTCAGGTATCTATACTGACTTAGAATCATGGATGCATATGGTCATCAGTGGTAATATGCAACATGTCAAAAAATACATCTGCATCAGAAGTAGAATGCAATATGCAACATCCTACATGATACATGTGAGCACAAAATGCAATATGTCACAAGACACATGATTCAGCGTTAGTGTTCAACATGCAACAAGGCATATATAGGCATGAGAAGCAATAGCCAATATGTCCCTATATACATGTATGCATCAGAGGCAATATACAGCATGTCACACAACACATGTGTGCAACATGTGGCAATATACATGTCAATGTATTGTAAAAGATCAGAAAGATCAAAGATGAATTAAAAGAATATTTTGCTTCTCTAACCTCAACAACCAAATTCGGCATTTTCAAAGTGAATTTCTCCACTGTCATGAAGCTCTGCTTTGTGTCATGTACTTTGCAATTCACAAATGCAGTAAATGAGGCATCTGTATCCAACTGAGTCTCATAGTCTGTAATACCAACAAGAAGTTGGAATTCAAATTCTGAAACAATAAAAACAAAAAAGCATTTTTAAAAATTCATTTAAGGCAATTAATCAACAGTTATTAATGATGATATCTCGACATACATCAGTTCATTTTTTTCTAACATTTAAGAAAAAAAAGATTTTCACTATTTTTCTTTCATTATGAGTTTTTCATTTCATTATTGATGCATTTTTATCGCAACACTCTGGCTTGAAATACTGTTCATTATTACTAGGACTTTATTTTCAGTTTTACTTTTTATTCCAACACTGATTTGATATACCGAATATTATAGTTATAATACAGAAGTACCAAAAAGCTATATAGAATATAATGTATAAAAAACAACAGTTTTTGACAAGAAAAATCTATGGTTTAATGTTTACTCCTCTATACATAAAATCCACTATCTGCCCAAAAGAGTTGAAAACTTGGCTCATCTGATCAGCTGACAATGTGCTAGTTTTCTACAGTCCAATGGCATTGTTGTCTGAACCAGGTGAGATGCAGGAATCAATACCATGTTGTCAGTAATGGTAGACTTGTTGACCAATCACTACAAAGCTACACTGAATATAATGTATTATGTGTGGAACATTGACTAGATGGTTAAACAGCATTGAATTGGAATATAATTTGAAATAATGTTCCTTTTTATTGGATTATTACTAAACTTTTGCTGACAGTTGCTGACTGTCCTATTCTTGCATCCATTATGGATATTTGTTTTCCAATGCTCTTGGTGTCTGCCCCAAACTGACAAACTTCACTTGTAATACCCTTTCTTCGATTTCCTGGGAAATTTAAGATCCTGATAAAATGCAAAAATCTATGGCTTAATATGATCTTCTCCATAAATAAGATCTACTATCTGCCCAAAAGATTTGAAAACTTGGCTCATCTGATCAGGTGGCAATGTGCTAGTTTTCTACAGTCCTGTGGCATTGTTGTCTAACCCAGGTGAAATACAGGAATCAATACCATGTTGTCAGTAATGGTAGACTTGTTGGCCAATAGATATAAAACTATATCAAATATAGTATATGATGTATGAAGCATTGAGTGGTGGGTTGAGCAGCAACAGCATTGAATTGGGATATAATTTGAAGTAATATTTACAGTCATTGGGTTGCTGGCTGTCCTGTTTTGGCATCCACTGTGAACAGCTGCAGCTTTCACATGCTGCTAGACATCATTTTAGACCTTTCCTATTATTTACTACTGAATTTATTCAAGAACCAAAATTATTGACTCACCTTTCTTGGACAAGAGTTCAATTGTCTCTTTTTTGTTTTTTATTTTCTGTTTTGAGATTCCAATATAGAAAGATGACATCAGTGTTACATTGACATCAATCTTCCTGACTGAGTAAGACAGAGATTTCATCTTCAGTTTTATTTCAAAGCCATCTCCAACTTCTACTTTTGTCGGGGGTAAAAATTTGAATTCCACGTCTTTGACACTATCCATTTTATAGATGTCATCTTCCGCTCGAGAACTAAACTGATTCACAAATCTTACGACTCTTCTTTCATCATCACTGCCTGAAAAAAATAAAGTGGACAAAAATCAGGAAGATATAATTCTTTCCATAAGTGAAATTCTTTGACAAAACTGAGTTATAATATTGAATATTATTTGACTGTTGCCATAGATTTAAGGAAAATTATTCTTATATTCCTATATTCTTATATTCCTCTACTCTTATATTCCTATATTCTTATATTCCTATATATTCCTATATATTTATATATTTATATGTTCTTATATTCCTCTATTCATATTTCTATATTCTTATATTCCTATATTCCTCTAGTCATATTCCTATATTCCCTTATTCATATTCCCATATTCATATCCTATATTCCTCTATTCATATTCCTATATTCTTTTATTCCTCTATTCATATTTCCATTTTCTTATATTCTTATATTCCTATATTCTTATATTCCACTATTCTTATATTCATTTTAAATTCCTGTATTGTTATATTCCTCTATTATATTCCTATTTATTATATCGCTATTCATATTCCTATATTCTCATATTCCTATATTCTTATATTCCTCTATTCTATATTCCTATATACACTTCATATTCCTATATTCTTATATTCCTCTATTCATATTCCTATATTCTTATATTTCTATATTCCCATATTCCTCTATTCATATTCCTATATTCCTATATTCTTATATTCCTATATTTGGTATTTTCATATTTCATTAAGCAAAACAGTGTGACATGACTGTTTAAATATTTACAAAAGCTATTTTAGTCTGTCACAAGGGACTTCATTAGTATTGACTTTACTACACTAACAAATAATCTAACAAGAGTACCTTCTTAACCATCGCTATACACAGGCACTTTAAGAACTATTAGGCATTTTGCTGATATTTACAAAATTTCAGTTAGTACATCGCAAGGTAAAACTGTAAGTACATGGTGTGGATTTGCATAATTAGCTTACTAACCACCGATAGGCACCAAGTTGATGGTATATAGAAGAAACATTTTATCAAGGAATATTCAGAAGACTCTAGATTAATTTAAAGAAAAAAAATTGAATAAATTAACATACCTTCAGGATACTTGTATAAATTGGTGATATCATTTCGGTCATCCCAACCAACAGACTTTGTACTGATAAACTTACCAACACGACATTTGTTAATATCCATGGCGGTCATATCCTCATCTTCTGATACCTAAAAGATAATGAAAAAATTACATATCACATGTTTTTCTATATTTTTCTCTATATAAAACTAATACATATCACATTTTTCACTCTATAAAACTAATACATATCACATATATTTTTTATTTTTTTCTCTATGTAAAACTAATCATTGAATGCTACCCCGATTCAACTGGAGGCAACCAAACATTCTTATATTTGAGTAGAATAATAAAATTAAAAGACTATCTTGGGCAGAAGACACAGATACTATATTGATTATAGGCAGAGGACCATTTAAATGTATAGATACGTCACTTATTCTAGATAGAAGTACTAATCTAAGCATAAATAATCTTATCATTTTTTACAGGCATTATGCATCCTCATATATTTAAAAATTTCATATGAAAGACTTCTTGTTGATATTAACAAAATATGTCTAATATAACATAATTCAAATAATAATTTTCTTTATGAATAAAAATATATACAAATTGTCTCTGCTGGGTCAGAGGTTAAGAATTAGATCACAGTTTGTTTAATGACAAAATGATTACTTTGAACTAATTATGATGCTTCAATCAAAGTAAAATGACACTAAACTGATAAATATATATATATATATATACATATAGATAGATAGATAGATAGAGAGAGAGAGAGAGAGAGAGAGAGAGATATGGTGCTGAAAAGTCTGAGAAATCTTTGTAGAAAATCATTGTAATCAACTAATTTCTATGCAATTCATTGCTTAATTTTCTTCTGTTTGCTGTCAATTAAAAAGAAGTCCAAAGAAATAAACTGTTCATTGCCCCCCCCTCCACTCATAACTGTATATCTTTATTGTCAATGGGTCAGAAGTTAAGAATTGGATCACAGTTGGTTTAATGACAATAAAATGATTCCTTTGAACTAATGATGGTGCTTCAATCAGAGTAAAATTATACTAAACTGATAGATAGATAGATAGATAGATAGATAGATAGATAGATAGATAGATAGATAGATATTGGCATGGATACAGGGGTAGTATTGTTTTTTGAGAAAGAGATATGAGAAGAAGTTGGCATAGATAGATAGATAGATAGATAGATAGATAGATAGATAGATAGATAGATAGATAGATAGATATTGGCATGGATACAGGGGTAGTATTGTTTTTTGAGAAAGAGATATGAGAAGAAGTTGGCATAGATAGATAGATAGATAGATAGATAGATAGATAGATAGATAGATAGATAGAAGGAATGAATAGATAGATAGATAGATAGATAGATAGATAGATAGATAGATAGATAGATAGATAGATATGGTGCTGAAAAATCTAATACTGAGACAATTAAGTTAAGAGAGATTTGTTGAATAACAGAGCTTTATTTACTGTCAATGGAATTTCTACTGAATTATTCTTTTGAACTAATGATGATACTTCCATCAGAGTAAAATGATATTAAACTGATATATATATATATATATATATATCTGCTCAAGATATTCTTTTAATTTTAATTTGGTATTTTAATATTAATTAATTTTAGTCTTTTAATTTTAATTTGGTATTTTAATATTAATTAATTTTAGTCTTTTAATTTTAATTTGGTATTTTAATATTAATTAATTTTAGTCTTTTAATTTTAATTTGGTATTTTAATATTCATTAATTTTAGTCTTTTAATTTTAATTTGGTATTTTAATATTAATTAATTTTAGTCTTTTAATTTTAATTTGGTATTTTAATGCGCAAATAGAAGAATGCGGGTGTAGTGGATATGCCACTAGCTTGGTTGCCTCCATTTGAATCAGGGCAGCATTCATTTGTGATTTTTATGTATCTGTTTCCCTTATAAGAACAAAAAGCTATAGAAAACATACATGCTGCATATTATATGGCTGAAACCTCTAGGTATATGACTGGCAATCATGGGTTCATTGGGTCATCTAGTATTCGTTCGTCTTTGACCCTAAAGACTAGGGGTATAAGTATGAGGTACAAAACCCTATCAAGCTGCAGCAACTTATCCAAAATGGTGGATATTCCAGCTTGTAAAATTTTTCATTTTATTTTTATTTTCTTATTTTAATGAGATTAATATATTGTTAGACTCTCTCACTAATAATAATGAAGTAAAAACAAAAATCTATATTGAAAACAATAAAAAAACCTGAAATGGAATTAAGGAAAATTTGAAACAGAAAATTGGTCCCTTTTCAAGATGGCTTATAAAATTAATATTTAAAATTTTGTTCAGCCTATTGAATTCCTTCATTGCGTTCTTGATGCTGCTTGGCATATGTGTTGGGAATTTTCTTGACTATAGACTGAAACTGCAAGGTATGTGGGTGGCAATCATGGGTTCATTGGGTCATCATCTAGCATTGGTGATCCTTTGACTCTAATGGATTATGAGACTTGATACTGATGATGAAGGCTGAAGAAGGGATCAGCCCAAACACTAGTCACATGAAGAACACAAAAGAAGAGTTCATTTATCCAAATAAAACTGAGAATTAAGAATATTTTTTTGTAAATATTACCTGCCAATAAACACAATCGCCATTGACTTCAGCAAAAATAAATGAGATATTAGGACTCAGACTTTAAGTGAAACTTGTACATATGATCCATCACTAAAGATTCTGATAAAATGGTCAATTCCCTGTACCACTCCAGTAAGTACCTGACTCCTCCTGCGATCCTTTACCTTTACAAGAGCCAAATCAGGTTGAAAATAAGGTACTGCTGCCATGTATGGGCAGGAGCTATCCAGTCTTCACATTCTAGTCTCAATAGTGTCTAAAAGCATCTCCACATCCTTGTGGGTGATGAATTATTTTCCACCCTACAACTCTTTCTCACAAAAAAAAACCAGTTTCAATGTTTTATCTTGTAATACTCTGTGTAATGGATAAATCTTTTAACATTTACGAGATGGCTTATAAAATGAATATTTAAAATTTTCTTCAGGCTATTGAACTCCTTCATTGTGTTCTTGATGCTGCTTGGCATATAAGCTGGGAATTTTCTTGACTATAGACTAAAACTGCTAGGTATGTGGGTGGCAGTCACGGGTTCATTGGGTCATCATCTAGCATTGGTACTCCTTTGACTCTAATGGGTTATGAGACTTGATACTGATGATGAAGGCTGAAGAAGGGATCAGCCCAAACACTAGTCACATGAAGAACACAAAAGAAGAGTTCATTTATCCAAATAAAACTGAAAATTAAAAATATTTTTTTGTAAATATTACCTTCCAATAAACACAATCCCCATTGACTTCAGCAAAAATAAATGCGATGTCATGGAGAAGGTAGACATGACCTTCTTTGATAGCTTTTAAGGGAGCAGGTCCACACTGCATTTTACCTAAAAATAAGAACAAATAAACTTATGCCTGTGGAATAAAAGTTGCTACATTCTTGGACAATGTAATTAATTCAAACTGCTCTGTGTTGAAACAGATAATTCTAAAAATATTATTGTTAAATAACAGAAAATACAACTTATTATTTGAATATTTAACATTAATTAAAAATGATCCTTCATACATATACTATATAGTTTTTTATGAAGCCAGTAGCTAATGGTAGGATTTATTAAATTTTTATTCACTCTCGTTGTTATACATATTGTGATGCAGCAAATACTAATTTCATTTATAACTCATTTATTGTAAATTTATTTTTCTTGGTTCCAATATGAAAGGAATGACTGTAAAAACAATCCCACCATCATCAAATTTATCAACAAATCAGATGCATGCTGGGATTTCTTCCTAGCCAATAAAATGAACCTCTTCTCACTGTCATCTACTATATTTTTGTTCTTTCTTATTTTGAAGTCAGAACACTATAATCACTTGACTGTATCCCTTTCGTTTGTAAACACCATTCTTACTTTGGAAACTTTTTCCCCCACTTATCACTGTTTCTTTGCCTAATTTTGTTTTGCATATATTTCCCACAAATGCCTTTAATAATTTATCTGTCATAATATTTTATAATATGTGCAATGATAAGATTTATTCAAAGTTTGAACTGATTTGTTTCAGAAATAATTTTAATGTCTACAACAAAATAATTTTTGAATTTATATATTAATACCAGAGTATCTATCGAATTTTACAAATGAATTACACATACTCCAATAGAAAATAGATATTAAATAAAGCTTTACCAACTTTAAAAGATCAACATGGGAAAAGGTGTCAGAAAACTTAATACAACAAGCCTGATTCTTTATATATTTCTTTTGTCTACATGCCTTTCACCTTTCCTTTCTGCCATTTTTATTTCTATTTTTTCTCTAGCTTTCATATTTATCCTCTATCTTTCCTTCTTTATATCTTCCTTTCTCCCCCTTTCTCCTTTCTTTTGATTTCTCCAATTCTTTTGTCTTGTAGAAATTAACAGAGATGAAGTTTATATATATATATATATATATATATATATATATATATATATATATATATATATATATATGCATATATATATGCATATATATATAATGCAAGACTCTCAAGCTGATTGAGTTCCCCAAGTGATTGTTGTTTTTATGAAAAATAAATATAACGAAAATACACCTTTTGTCTCTGCCAGGCATTGATGGATTAGATGGTTAGATGATTAGAATCTCCAACTGGTACCAAATCAGTATGGTTTCAGTCCCAGCCTGAAGTGATCAGATGTCTAGCCACATTGATGAGCTGTGATACAGTGAAACAGTCTGTCTGTGGATGATGACTATATATATATATATATATATATGTGTGTGTGTGTGTGTGTGTTTTGTTATTTTTTTTAGTAGTGTTGGCTATCTGTAACTTTTCTCTTCATACGTTTAATTTGTTATAAGTTTGTTGATTTTGAGTTCCAACTTGTAAAGTTTTCAACATCATATGAGTACCCCAACCACCATACCTCTAAAAACGGAAAACATAATTACCTTCTAAGTATCCGATGAAGGGGTGTCCACTCAAAAAAAAAAAAGAAAAAAAGAAAAAAATTACCCGTAAACAGTTTAAATAAAGTTCGCACCATTGTGATTGGCTGTTGGTCAATCTCCAATCAAATGTGTGATAACGGGGTATATTTATAGAAGTCAGTATCTACAAGCATGAGGGCTTTTCAGAGTCTGATCAGCTCTGATGGGGTCGATTTGGTGAGGTCAGTGTGATGTTTGAAAGACCCGAAACTGCCCAATGATCCAATTCCAGAACATCACTGACGACGTCCTCTAGCGCTAAAAGAGCGCATATTCAAAGCAAAGTAATTGTAAGTCTTCCTCTACAATGGGTACTATCTCAAATTGATAGTCTGTTTCAAATATTCCTTCAAAGTATTCCAAAGTCTTTATACTTAAACCATCAAATTATCGTAAGATGAGATTACTCTTACTTAGTTTGTGTTTACCAGTTTGTTTCTAAAAATCTTTCGGAATTGAAATGATGCCATTACCAGTGTTAATTTGCATATGCAAGATTATGCAATTTAATTTAACTTTAACCAAGGTATTTTTTCAGTGAAATATGTGAATGGCATAAAGGATATGTCATTTTAACAAAACAGTAGCCAAATGGATATGTCATCCATGTAATGTTTGTTCTCATGAAACAGAGATGAATATTAAATAATCATCTTCCTGAAATGTTCATCATGTTATTTCGTTTATTCCTTTCTGCATTTGGATATTAAACTTTTGGTTATGAGGTCAGGAAAAATATTCTCTTTGTTTCTATGGAGAACATAGATTATGCTTTGTAAAGACAAAATTGCTTGAGCATTAAAACATAATTTAATATAGACAGGTAAATGATAAATGGCCAATGTTCTAAAGAAAAAAAGATATTAAGACTCCTGCAGAGTTAATACTTAGAAGGGGAGATATTATGGTAATCTACCCACGCATGTATGGATTCTTCCAGCTATAAATAGGAGCAGGTACTGCCTTTTAGAGGAGTGTAGTTTCCAACAGTAGGCTCTGACAGTCGGACCGAATATTCTTGCTGTAACACTCTCGTTTCTATATGTTGTATTACTGTTTTTCTGTTAATATATTTGTTTAACTCAATTCCTCTCTTGTGTCTTTATTTCTGGCCCCAACAAGACCACAACAGAAATTCTTCTATAATGGTGGGAATAGAATATACTCTTTATATCCTTCAATCATGTCATTAGATTAATATTTGTTCACATGAAACAGATGAATATTAAATAATCATCTTCCTGAAATGTTCATCATATTATTTTGTTTATTCCTTTCTGCATTTGGATATTAAACTTTTGGTTATGAGGTCAGGAAAAATATTCTCTTTGTTTCTATGGAGAACATAGATTATGCTTTGCATTATCTATAATTTGAATTAGTGTAAGAAAAATTAAAAGAAAATCTTATATTTAGTTTTCATTGTTTTAAAAGAATTTAACTCAATATTATTTGAAAAAACAAGTTGCTCATTGAAACAATTACAACTTTAAGAAAATATACACTTATTATTTCCAATATACCTTGCACCATATATTTTAGCAGTAGAACAGTGGCCTAATGGATATGTCAATTACTTGCCTATCTGCAAATTAGAGAATCAAATGCTATGGAATTTCCACAGGTCCAGTAAGTCTCTTGTGATTTATAATGCAATACAGAAACAGAAGCTTTTCAAAAGATTGTTTTTAATTTTAAAAGTATTCTTCCTCAAATAATATTTAATTTTTCATAGTTTTTTCAAACATTTCATCTTACCTTCACTACACTCCTGGGGGGTGGCATCATGAGCCTGCCATCCATCATAGCCAGCAGGCAAATCTGGCCGTTTTAACCAGGATTCATTCCAGACATGAAAATTCCTACCAAAATGTAAAAAAAGAAACTAAAAATAAAATCTGGATGCTTTAACCAAAACAAATTTCAAACATAATTCCTATTAGATCACACACAGGTACTTTAGTAGCCATTGTATTTGTCAAAGTCCTCCATTCAAATTGCTATCAGCTACCTCCATACATTGTCTATAATCTCATTCTCGGTATTTCAACAGCAATTTTACTTTTGGGAGAATATCATAAATCACAAAGTAACACATCTAGATTAGTGGAGTGCTGACAAATCTGGATGATGCAATCTGTTGTGATAAAAAGAAAAACCCTGCATGTCACCTGAAGTATTTAATTGCTTGGCCATTGTGAATTTGATAGGCATGCAATACTATAAAAATTTTATTTTTATTTAAAGAAAGAAAAAATAATGTCAATTTAAATGTAAGACCGTCTCGGTGTTGTTTTTTTTGTTTATTTACACGTCTTTTGAAGAAGGTGTATTTTTTTTGTAAGCCGGACGGTGTGTGTGTGTAAAAAGAAAAAACTGTGCAATTTTTATGACCATTTCGGATCAAGATTTGCCGCCAAAATTGTTGCCAAAATCGTTTGACAAACTCTGATTTTCTTGTGTAAAATTTATGACCCTTTCGGATCAGGAATAACCGCCAAAAGTGAAATTTTGAAAGGCCTTTTTTCATATATTGGCCAATGAAAATTGAGTTTTCGAGGCCCGTAGAGATTCCGGATGGCCCCAAGTGGAGCCGACTTTTCCAAATAAAAGAGAGGACATTAAAAAACGATCAAAGAAGCAAAAAAATAACGAAAGGGAACAGAGGCAGAGACGACACGCAGTTCGCAGACCACTTAACACCAACACTCTACATTGACCGGCAAGTGGGCCATAAATCAGCCTTTCTCCAACTACCTAACCAAACCAATCCGGCCTGCTGTCAATGAAAATTCTTCAAAGAAAGTAGAACCAAGCTTTTCCAAACCAATCCGGCCTCTAGTCAACGAAAATTCTTCTAAGGAAGGAGGTGGGTGCCTTGCGTTCTGCTATGTGTTGGTCTCTCTAAAAACTCTGTCCTTTTTTTATGTACTTTTGTAAAAGCGCTAAAACTTTGTCCCTTTTTTTTGGTATTGTTGTAAAGGGTCTGAAAACTTTATCCTTTCTTTTGGTGTTTTTTGTATTTTTGAAGGGTCTGAAAACTTTATCCCTTCTTTTGGTGTTTTTTGTATTTTTGAAGGGTCTGAATTTTCAAAAACCGGAGTTAAAG